TGTATATGTATATGTGTGTGTATGTGTGTATATGTATATGTGTGTGTGTGTGTATGTGTATGTGTATATGTATATGTGTATGTGTGTATATGTATATGTGTGTGTGTGTGTATGTGTATGTGTATATGTATATGTGTGTGTATGTATTTGTATATGTGTGTGTATGTATATGTGTGTGTATGTGTGTATATGTATATGTGTGTATGTGTGTATATGTGTATGTGTGTATGTATATGTATATATGTATATATCATGGGGGGGTCATATGATTGTTGGGATTTTGTCTGTATGTATTATTGTTGGGTCTACCTTACATTATAAAGCACCTTGAGGTGACTGTCGTAATTTGGTGCTGTATAAATTAAAATTGAGTTGAATTGAAAAAGTGGACAAGCTGACTTACAGATAATAACAAATAAGAAGGCAACACTTTGTCTAATTAGATGAGTAAAAAACTCTTAAAACGCACGACAGACTAGATCAGAGGTCTTGAACTCCAGGCCTCGAGGACCGGTGTCCTGCAGGTTTTAGATCTCACCCTGGGTCAAAACACCTGAATCAAATGGTTAGTTCATTACCAGGCTTCTGGAGAACTTCAAGACATGTTGAGGAGGTCATTTAGCCAGTTGAATCAGCTGCGATGGATAAAGGACACATCTAAAACCTGCAGGACACCGGCCCTTGAGGACTGGAGTTGCCTGTCCCTGGACTAGATGTTTGTCTCTAACCCTTCCAGCTCAGCTTTTTTTAAATTCTCATATCTTATCTGCCACAGCCACTGTTGTCATAAACCACAGCTATAGACTCAAGACCGTAAAAGACGGACGGCGTTACTGCAACATCATCAGTGACATCAGTAGTGCAATCCGTATGTGAAGTCTTGAGTTTTCCTCGTCAATACCTCGATCTTTTGAAATCCCAGACAACAAATAAAGTGTAAATCTAAGAAGCCGAGGCAGCCTGCGTGCTCGCGTGGTAGTGACTTGTCAGTCACAAGGTCAGTAATGGAAACCATAATTCACAACATAAAGGAGTGGGGACAAGCTTAAGACTGTAAGGCCATCAGGTTACAGAAGTCAAAGATCAACGGACCCAAGTGTGTCACACTAGAGTAAAAACAGCACGGCATCATTCTCCTCCCTGGTGGTTGCCAGTGATTGCAGGGACTTTGTTTTCTCCATAGAGCAGCGGTCTCGAACTCCAGGCCTCGAGGGCCGGTGTCCTGCAGGTTTTAGATGTGTCCTCGATCCATCACAGCTGATTTAAATGGCTAAATGACTTCCTCAACATGTCTTGAAGTTCTCCAGGGGCCTGGTAATGAACTAATCATTTGATTCAGGTGTGTTGACCCAGGGTGAGATATACACCGGCCCTCGAGGCCTGGAGTTCGAGACCCCTGCCATAGAGGCTGTTGTTGCAAAGCAGTTGTACAGGTCACCTGGTGGGAGGCAACCGGTCTCCAAAATTTGGTCTGACTCGAACAGACTGCATTCAATTTCAGATTGTTTTACAAATAATTGCAGCTCATCTGTAATGTGTCTCTTTGCAGCAGTTATTTTATGCTTATATTCCAACATAAAGTTGGCATATCGCTACATCTATGGTTCTCTGCCTAGCATCTGTCTTTTATATGGCATTGTTATAGATATATGGGACTATTTTCCGTCGTCGTGCCTCTTCCAGATCAGGCTTCTCATGTTCATCATGTTGTCTGATAATAGCTTAAGAAGACTGCAACATAGTTTCCCAGAGTATTAAATAAAATCAATCCTTCTATTAGTTACATTCCTGTAATGTAACAAAATAGGCCTGATGAAGTACTTTAACTTGAATGCCACAGAAAATATGTAATTTAAGTTTCAAAACAAGGAGACAGCGTTACACTAGCACTCCTTTACTAGAACAAACCCACACAGAAACATTTGTGCATCAGCAGATCATTTTTCTCAGTTTCCATTGCACTGTTGGCTGGTCTTGGTTTCTCAGTAGGTGAAGAAAGTTGTTTATTTTCTCTTTTTTTTTTAAATACACATGTAAACACACAAAAAAAGACCTAATAAAAATAATTCTGTTGCTCATCTGAAGAACTTGATGCCACCAGGACCCTAAAAAGAGAAATAAAAGGTTAATGTACTTTATTCAGTGCTCTTAGCTGTGCAGCATTACATAAACGGTAACATTTTGTCAACTAGCACAAACCAGTTGGTTGACATTAATGTATCTCCTGTTTGTGGCTGGTATTTCCAACTGGGTTGGGGTTAACCAATCAGAGTACTCGGCTGTCAGTCAGTTAATCCATCTGGGTTGAATTTCCAACTTCTCTCACTCATCACTGTGGACATTTTCTGTCATATGTCTTTTCTGTCAGCTCAGATCATACGCAGAGAAATTCTTCCCGCGTGCAGCCTTCAGAAATATGTTTCAGTGTCTGTGCAGCCATGATGAGAAGAGCGATCGCACAGTGAATTCTGTGTCATTACCATGGAGACTAATCTGAGAAGTTGCCATTATTAAACTTTCCTCTCGGAGCATCTCCAGAAATGCATTAACAGTTCTGTAGGTGGGCTGAGACTTGAGCTATGAGCTAAATATAGAGCAACTACAGATCCAGACGCTGCTGATTAGTGGAGCTGTTTAGACTCTTAAATGGCTGCATTTATGAACCGCTGGTCGATCGCTTGGTTTATGAACACATTCGGCTTCTTACCTGCGTCAAGATGAGTCTTGGGTCACGTTTGCTGGTTTTCCTCCAGAATCTCAAATTAGGAGGAAAGAAAACCCCTTTGAAAGCTTTATAGAAGAGGAAATGACATAAATACATTTAAAAATGCATAAAAAAATAACTCAAGTTTATAAAAAGCTTTTGCATTTAACAAAGAGTTTGGTATCATCCACGTCAATTTCTTGCATTTCTGGTTTTAAAAAATGGGATGTTAAACATGAACAGTAACAGTTAAAGAGCATGAATCATACGTGTTTCAGGGCTATCGTGGATGTTCAGTTTTCATTCGCACTCCACCTTCACCCTATTCTCATGCTGTGGGTTGCTTTCTAATTGGGAGTATATGGTTTCCACTTCCATCACTGTGTTTTTCTCATCTTACTGCAGATTTATCCCCATATGTTTCTAACCAGGGTCAGTTTTTGGCAGAGGCCGGCTAAGTTAGTCTCAGGCACCACCAGATGGAGGGTGCTGTGGAGAAGGAAGAAATATCTTGCCAGCGCTCCTGATTTACTCACACTGTAGTAAACAGCTCGTACTGAGAGGAGACTAAACAGATGTTAGGACAGGGGTGGGCAGTTCACTTTTTTACAGGGCCACAGGGCATGCCAACAAGCTGATCTCAGTTCCACTCAATATTAACTTGATTTTTTTTTTTTTTAAATAAACTGTTACTGGTGAGAGTAGATGTAAGTGAAAATTGGAGGATGAAAATGTGAAATACGCAGCAAAAATGCCAGGATTTGATCACTATTTCATAAACATTCCCAAAACCAGTTTTCAACAAAACATGTTTTTGCAAAATTCAAAGGATTTTTAACTTTATACAGTATGCTATTGATACACTGCATATAGTTTAATTACTTTATCTTCAGTTTTTCAGTTATCTTATTTAAGTGAGAGAAAGCTTGAACAAGTCAGTTAAATTCAGTGTCTAAGGTGAAAATGCTTTGTGGTAGCCTATGTCACCATATTCACCATTATGCTTCTCCAAAAGTGCAACAAACTGTCTGCAATCTTGCCCTGAACCAGTTACAATATGGACAGTTGACTCACCTTGCAGCCCCTGGTATACATTACAAATCACAAATAAAAGATGTATTAATTTATTTCATTTTTTATGTCCACCATTTTTACCTTTCAGATTTGGACAGCTGTTGGTTCCATAACCTTCCTTTTTGTCCCAATTGTAGGCCACGCCTCTTCAAACATGCACTTATCTCTGCAAACGAATCACTAGTTATTCCATATATGAGACATCATAACTGGGCTGTGTTGCTCTTCAGCTACTGGGGTGGCTGCAGGAGGAGCTAGAGCAGGTCATCTACTAATTGGAAGGTTGGTTGTTCAGTCTCTGCATGTGTTATGTGAACTGCAAACTCACATCTCTAATTAACGCTGGTTCCAACGCATTTACAGTGAAGCTGCAACGCTTGTATGTATGTTAAAATAAATATATAAACATGAAAGCAACAAAACTCTGCTGTAATTTACCACAAAATTCATCTCCACCACCGGCCCCCCAACTGGGTCCATAAACTGCTCCACCACCTAGCTCTGTGGCTTGGTCGACCTTTTCCAATTTTTCCCCTTAATTTGCTCCCTGTATTCATTTTGCTTTTCAGTCCCTCCCTCTTGATGTTTCCACCCCACCGGGGCCTGAGTGGACCCAGGTGGGTGTCAGTCTGTTACATTCGTGAGCTTTTGGTTTACTTTACCCACCTTCTGGTTTCTGTTCATTCAGCTGTCTTGAGCCTGCATTTGGATCCTAATCCTGTACCACTCCAGGGCCTTCTTCACTAAACCACTCAGTAATGAGTAATCTAATTTATTTTTCATTGTTTTAATATAAGAAAGGGGAACCATAATTTCTGATTCTGTTTGGTGCCATTTTTGTTGCTTTATCATTTCTTAGGCACATGGACTCTGGCAGACATGGTGTTCATATCTATTATAGCTACTGTGTGTTGTGACAGCATAGAAATCGTTGTATTGGTGTGATGGCTGTAAGTGGTAATATCCACCATGTTAGTGTAGAGACTTATACATAACATTGCATTCAGATTTGTCTGTCTTTAAATATAGGAATTAATTTACAGGACAATAAATAACTGGTTTTGGTTTAGAATTAATTCACATATCCACATAACACTGCATTCTAAAATAAGTGC